TTACATTTTCCAAAATAATTAGTATCGATGGGTGCGCTGGACATTGGTCGATGAATAGCAAAATTTCTCGTTTTTGCCTCTTCATAACATTGTCTGGTTTTTTCAGTCATCTAGTAAAAATTACGGTCGTCATCCAAGCATTCTTGTTGGCACCCTTTTCTGTATCATTCATGTTGGCAAATTCCGCCCTTTTTTAAAATACTCAAGAAAAAATTAAATAAACGTGAACAAAATCTAAAAACCGACGTATAACCGATTTTGTGCGTCGCATAAACGATATATTTTTACATTAAAATGAATAGGAATGATTTGGGACCACACTAAAACGTCGTATAAATGTAAACGTCGTATAAGTGATCGTCGTATAAACGATGCTCCACTGTACTACAATTAAACAAAGTAGCGAGTTGACAACTGAAAATCTGCTCCAATTTAAATACTTTTACATAATATATATAAGATTAAAATATTTGAGTTATTTAAAAAAAATAATGAAATTAATACTTAAAACTAAATAAGTTGTTTTAAAAACAGTGTTATGGTCATTGAAATTGGCAGGGCTCGAAAAAACTCAGAAATTTTACCCGTCCCCGAGGACGGCTTGTCCAACAATGTACCCGTCCTCCTTTGAAACTAACCCGTCGCTTCTAAATAAATAAAAAATATAATTTTCTCTTATTTATTACAAACATTTATATAAATTGCACAATGAATTAATAGTTACTGGGATTACATTATACAGTAATAAAAGAAATACTGGGTTACTAATAGTTACCTAGTATTTCTTTTATGAAATAATTTAAATGACAAAGATCAAGTTATCTGGAATGTCAATTTATCCGAGGGTACTGCGTTATTTAAATGAATCAAATATGACGTTTGCCAGTTTCACAAACAAGCCAATGATTTACAGAGGTTTTTGCACAGAAATATGAAACGGTTTTCCATTAGGTAGATTTTCATAATTGCGTTTAACGCTTCTTGTTTATCAATTCCACCATGCGCAGTATGTTGCTGTATTGTCGGTCATTTTGCTGCATTAGGTCTTTATAAATAGCTTGGGTTCGGAGGTCTGAAGTTTTCTGGTATTTAACGGTGTTACGTTTCTTAAGTTTTAATGACACCCATTCTTGAGAAAAATTTTCTTTATCTACTGCTTCAAAAAAGATTGTAATTTAACAAAAATTGAAAATGTATCACGAACATTAACAGAGAACATGGCCGTCCGCGCGGACGTCGGATTCGAGAAATTTGTTGTCCGCTGGGAATTTTTGACCGCCGAGGACGGGTGGTTTTTCGATCCCTGGAAATTGGGTTGCAATGAAATTTAACATTAGGATAAAGTTTAAAAGTAAATTTAAAAAAACAGTCAAATGTTTTTTTCTTTTATATAAATGCAGCCCTACATTTAAATCTTTGAGCAGAATAGACCTCACAATCACAAAGTATATGTTGTGAAATCTGCTCCTCAAGATGGCAACCTCGACAAAGAGTATTAGATTCAATACTGATTATGTATAGGTGTGTCCTGAGGGTGCAGTGTACAGGGAGAAGACCAATGATCTTCCTCAAACTGTTTCTGTTTAACTTAAGAAGCTCTTTTTAACACAGACTAGGACAGTCACGATTTAGCTCTTCAGCTTGTCTCTGACTATCCGAGTTGCGCTATAGCTCATGGGCAATTTTGCCATGGAGCTCGAATATAGATGCCCTGAATGATGTACGAGAAATTCCCAAAGCTGGTTCAGGGCCCCCAGAAAACCGCACTGGAGCCAGCTCGAGATGCTCCGTCAGCCAGCTCATTTCCAAGAAAGCACATATGTCCAGGTACCCAATGTAGGTCTACATTGTTCTGAGTGGAAAGGTCACAAAGGACCGAGAAGCACTTCCACAGTAGTGAAGAGGTGAATTTACACCTTGANTCCCACAGCCCTAGAAATTTTTTGCCCAGAAATCAGACAAAAGGGTGTTTCTGTGGACAAAAAAGCCCACAGCAATTTAAAGAAGCTGAAAACATTTCCCACAGTGTAAATTGAGGCGGCTACTCCATGGAGTACCGCTTTTTAGGATCCATGGACTATTCCCATCACTGGTAGCTACGAAAGCTACAGGATATTTTCATCATTCAAAAGGCCTTTTTATTGCTCTTTTAGTTAAAAAAAAAAAGTGAAGAGAACAATTATTTTATATTTGTAAACACTTCTATTAGATTTTGAAAAGCGTTCGCCAATGTAAAAAATAAAAAAAAAATTATTTTAGGCTTCAGAGGGCTCCAGCTCCGAATAAAACTTTAAAAAAAGTTGGATCTGGGGGCCCTTGCCATCTCGGGGCCCCAAGCTACAGCTTATTTAGCTTATACGTAAATCCGGCCCTGATCCTGCAGCACTAGATGATAGCATAAACCTCAGCCTGAAAAACAGTGGCATAACTGCCTAGAGGAAAGTGGAGTTTGGCACCATTATTGGATCAGTAAATTCCTTCCTCTGATTTAAGACCAAGCCTTGAACCATCGGTGTACCATACTAGACATTCGTCTTTATGCCACCGAGGAGATTTCAGTCACTCATTTCCAGCAGGAAAATGGATCTCATCTCTAGTAGGAAGAGCTTATGAATAGCATATCTTAGTGACATATAATCACTAGACATAATAAAAGAGGGAATTTCCAATACCTACGAAACAATGTAGTCCCATGACAATTGCTTTGAGTATTCCTTCCATAAGCCAAGGTACATAAAACGTTAAATACCAGCTTCAGTTTCAAAACGTGGATTCAACGGAAGAAGCCCATGTAAGACAGCCTGACAAGGTAATGCAGACCGCTCTTTGTAGTCTATTAAGACTAGACATGCACCTGGCGGAGCTCATTCTAGTCCTAGACCACCAGACAATAGCGCCATATGTGACAATAGGACTAATAAGCATTGAGTACATCCAGTTAACTATCTTGGATAATCCCTAGGTTTTACCAATAGCATTTCTGCAAGACCAGAATATCTTCTTGTCCCTGCGGATACAATATTCTAGACCATAGGTTCCCAAAGTGGTCCAGGTGGACCCCCAGGGGTCCATAGGAGACTACACGGGGGTCCACGAAGACGTGAAAAGAAAACAGGGGTTCACAAGTTGTAAGTGGGGGTCTACGAAAAATTTTCTGGTTTTCATAATAAAGAACAAAAATTTTGGCTTGGATTTACCTACCAACATAGGCATGTAGCATCATTCACTGGGTAGGTACTCAAAAATATTCAAAGNAGCCAGAGTCAGAACACCATCTAGCTAC